AAACATTCTAATAGTAATTTATTGGCATGATATATATATTTCCCTAACTGATTTACATCTTTAGTATTTGTACTAAAAAATAGTTGTATTAGACTAAAGACACTTGGTCTTCGGGAGTAGTAATGTTTGATGAATTTGTCTCTTAGATCATGGAAAACTGGACAAATGAATAAAAAATGAAATTCATCTTCAATATCATTTAAAAATTACATAAATCACATTTCCTATTACTCCTTATTAAATTATCATACCTTCCCGTTTCTATCTTTAAGTTATGTGCTGAAAGTCTAAAACATGAAATTACTTTTCTGTATTTTACATGAATAGGTTTCTTTAAATAAGCTTGCAAACAAAAATAGTCAACTAAATGCTTATATAACATGCATTTTGGTGATCTACATATATTAGATATATAGCTTTTTGTTTAAAAACATCACACATTCTATTGTATGTTATGTCTAATATAATACTATCTTTTTGATTACTATGGTACAAGTCAGCCAAACCTAGAGTGTACATTTCATTTTTTATACTCATAATCCAGGGGTCTTTATTCTCCACCATATCTTGATAACATGCACTCAATATACAATTATTACTTTTTCTTAATTTTAACCAATATTGTAATATCCTGCGCTTTCTATAAATATCTAGTGGTATTCTACCTAACTCCTAATAAACAGCACTATTGCAAGTATTTATTCTTATACCAAGTATTCTTTTACAAAAATTAATATGCACTCTTTCAACATCTTGACCTTTATGAAACCCCCATATTTCAGCTCCATAGCATAACACACTTTTAACATAAGTATCAAACACATTAATCTGAGACTCAACATTGAAATTTTAATGGCTATGTCACACTATGTGTAGTCCAAGTAAACCGTGTTATGCATCATAAATTGATAAACAAACACTAAAATGTTTCTTTTTTTTTTTTTTTTTATTTATTACATATAATAAAAAACAGAAATACCAGGTTTGTGCATTTGATCAAAGGCTAAACAATTTTAAAAAATAAAACATTAGATATAGTTTATGTTTCAAGCATGGTTAGTGTTATAAGTAATAGTTATTGTATATTTATTATGGTGTATCCTGATATATTTGGACGAAGGGCGGTGACGAGTGCGAAGCACGAGTCTCCGCCCCTTCGTCCAAATAAATCAGGATACACCATAATAAATATTCAATAACTTTCTTGTATCATGGCCAATCAAAACGTCAATAATTGTTATGTCCCAAATTTTCAAGCATGATTTTTAATTACACCAATAAAAAATATAGTTTTTGTCAGGTGACCGCATGGATATTCTCTTCTTCCCGCCAGAATTTTTTAATTCGCACATTTTATGTGTGTGTTCATGAGAAAGGACGTCGGATTGCAACTCTCCAACTTAATATAAAAACGGATTGTTAATGAAATTCATAAGAAAACCTTTGGATGTCAAGGATGAAAAATTCGAAGTTGAAGAAGGGAAATGCAGGTGTTAATCGAAAATCAAGAAAAAAAGATACCCATTGATCATTTGACATATTCGAGAGCTGTGGCATGAACAAAAGCGCTGTGTTAATAACTCTTCATGAGAATGGATGCAACTTACAGCTGAACTTTATTCTAGTTGAGCAAAGAATACAGCAAAGATGGTTTATCCTGCTAAAGGGCTCTATTACAATAGGTTTGATATTTTAAGATATTTATTTGTGGAATTCATGTCAAAAACTTGATTTCTCGATGCGGTGGATCGAATATTCAGTAAAAACATTTTTTCGTATTTTGGGATACATGTGCACTGTAATTCATGTGAAAGACCTTTATTTCATTGGCAAAAATTTGTCTTTGTATAGAACAAAGGCCATTTAATTCTGTAGTTCTTCAATATACATGTGTTGAAATCGCCTTGGTGTTCAATAATTTATTTACACGGCACAGTTTTTGCTGGCTCCGCCCATCGGTGTATCTGACTATCTCCAGTTGTACACTTTACTTCAAAGGAAAGATACAAATGAAAATTTAAAAACTGAAATCGGGCCTGCAAGCGAAAATTTTTTATTCGTTATACTTTTAAACCAACTTAATTTATCAATTTTGGTGATAAAATATATTCTAGTGAAAAAATTATACAATTTCTTTCAATTTACGTTGCTAAGTATTATAATTATGATACTAAGTAAGTATGCATCTGCAATATAGGCCGACCTAGTAGTAATCATGGTAAAGGCCGGCTCTGTTATAGTCCTTCTGCAGCTATGTGGGAATAGAATTTTCAAAATGTTGGCTAAATGGGAATAAACTTAACGAATTCCTATGTTCTCAAAAGGTCTACGTGTGCTCAACCATATGCCATATTGCTCTAAAATCTTCGTTATGTTTTGTACGTACAAATCACAACGGCCGGTTAGCTCAGTCGGTTAGAGCGTCGTGCTAATAACGCGAATGTCGTGGGTTCGACCCCCACACTGGCCATTTTTTTTTTTTTGTATCTTTCCTTTTTTTTTTCAAATCAACTAAAACAGCAATTCTAAAGTATATTAATTCAAAAAATCTTCTAACTCGCTTGTTATCTTTTTTATCAGTAGGATAAGTACTAAACGGCAGTGCAAAACTAAAATTCACATTGAGGCTTCTGATAGTTTTACACGTACACAAAAAATATTGAAAAAAGTTGAAAGATTTATTGTACTATGGTATTTTATCGAGAAAAAAATTATTCTCGTGTAATGTAACACTAAATTTTGTTTTCCTGGATTTTTGTTTTGCTTTCTTTGAACATTTCTTTAACCAAGAAAAACAAATTATTTTGAATAAAATGTAACATTTCTTTGCACAGGAGGTCGAAAATCATAGTCGTAGGAAGCCAAGCACGGTCGGTATGAGAAGCAAGAATGATCATGGGTTTCCGACGATGGAAACTGTCTGCAGCGTGAAAATAGGTCAATTTCTGCAAGTCACATACAATAGGGTTAGCAAGTCAATTTACCCATTAGATACTAAAATAAGATTTTCTAAAAAGATTTGTAACTAGTATGTCAACATACATGTAATTATCTTACATGTAGACATAATTATCTTGCTTGTTTACATACCTTTCTTGCATGTTGACATAATTTTACTTGCAGAGGTCAGAAATCTGTCACCATAGTTAACTAATATATAAATTTTATCTATATAAATCTTTATCACTCTTTCGTCATCTCAGCTTCGCCTCATAGGAAATAACATTTGTACTTGAATAAATTTAAGTTCTTTGTCTTATAAACTAATAATTTACTACATTATAAAATTTACCTGGTAATATGTAAAGTCATTCTCATTGTTTCAATTAAGAAACATCTAGTGTCTCAACATGATCAAACATTTCTGCCCCATACCTACAATTTCAGGGGTCTTAAGTCCACTCGTAGCTGTTGGGTCATGCAACTGCCACGACTGGATTCAGAACCTATGTCGTTGTGAGGTGGATCTACCCCTAATGTCCAACTTATATATGTATGCCTACTGTTTCACATTAAAATTTTGATGCAATTTATTTATTCTGACATATGCAACTTAGTTGCATGTATGTATCTCTTGCAGGTACTTGTGGATAGTACAATAGGACCCCCCCCCCCCACCCAACATTCAACCCCGGGGATTGTTGTCTTCTCAAATAATATTTATTACACTTATGATATTTATCATGTTTATACAATAGGAAAAATCGGGGGGAAACGCAAAATAATCGTTCCATTCAAAAATTCTCCTCTTTACATATATTTATTTGCCAGTCATGATTCCACTTGGAACATAAGATAGATACAAATATTAAAACACGATTTGTTTACATTCAAGAGGACAAGAAAACACGTCAACAAAACATAACATATGTTAGACAGAGAAACGTATGCCACTCCAGATTGTTTACATTGTACCCCCGCTGGTCTTTCTTGATTAAAAAAAACAAACAAACAAACATGTATTTCTTTTATTTAATGTCGGTTCACATTGTCTCTACATATATATCTGTCTTAGTTTATACTATATGATTGACCCTGCATCTCGTAAAAATCCCACAATTAATCCTCAAACACGATTACAGTCAGTGAGTTGAAAAATCCTTAAGTAAACGCAACGGAAGTGTATAAAGAATGTATTACCTTTTACGATAACATCAGAGAGATTTATTGACCGGACGTAATATGGTATACATGATAAATAAGTCCAATAAATATAACTTGAGAAGAAATATCCAACTAGATCTAGGGTGGAATTTGGGGCGGGGGATGGGGCCCTGTCCACAAGCACCTAAGATATTTTTGTCTCAGTCAATTGTCATTTAGTATCTTAGGTACTTAAAATTGAATGACAAGTATTTTTTTCAGCTCAAGGTCCTTCTTCCCCTTTATTTACTGTTAAATAAAAGTCTGGGAATTATATTTAAACTTGCTTGTAGATACACATAAGTATACATGTACAATTTGATTGTCAGTTAACATCCACCACTCATCATGGCCGTAGGAACGGGGGGGGGGGGGCACGGCCCCCCCCCAATAATTTTGCCGATATATAGATTACTATAGAAAACATGGCTACCACATGCTTGTGCCCCCTCAATAAAAACGTCTGATGATGTTTTTTTTTTTTTTGTTTTTTTGCTTGTCAAGGAATTTTTGGTAGTTGATAGTGCCCCCCTCAACTGAAAATGTATGGCTGTGCCCCCCCCCCCCCCCCAAACTGAAATTGCTTCCTACGGGCCTGCTCATTATACATCAAAACAAACAACAGATGCACAAAAAGAAAGGAAAAAAAATAACGTTTTCGTTATTTTACTGAAACCCATATGACTTACAGATCCATAATCTTGGACATAGTATAAACAGTTACTCTAGCATGACATATAAATATTTCAAAATAGTTGCCAATCCTTGGTTGAATCTTGGCTGTCTCCCAAAGATTTTCGGACCAATCCTGTAACTCCACGAGGGATTACATCACTTAAAACATTATGTACGGAGAGGGTTTTGATCATTCCTTATTCGGAATAACTCCGTATCGGACAAACAGGTTAGTTAATTTTCAAGATCGTAGTCCCGATGACAGTGTTTCGAATGATATTTCGCTCGCTGGTATAAAATATATTAGTACTGTAACACACTTGTAATCAAGACATTTTTGTTATTATATGAAATAATTTTTCAATATGTACAATGTAAAACATATTCAACACACATATCTTAATGATTGAATTTGTTACCTTTGCCAAATTGGATTAAATTTTACAATACATGTACAATTATTTAAGAGTTACGTCCCTTCCATCCCATTCATAAAATTAGTGTTCTTCGACGTCAATATACATTCGTTAAAAATAGATTTGTTGTTGAAAAAATATAACAATGGACAACTATGTTGATTAATATACAAATTATTGTTATTTCGTTTCAGCAATGTCTACATCCCTCATCATTTTGTCGTTGGCAGTTGTCACGGTCGCCGCTGGAAAACTTGTGAACTACTGTGATGTTGAAAAACAGTTTTACGTTAAACAGTGGGGGCAGTGCAAGGCTTGCGATAGATGTCCAAGGGGCTACGGACTGAATTCAAAAAGAGTAAGAATTTTTTTTGTATTTCACCTGAACATGTACTATCATAGTCATTAGCCACAGTTTTTTTTACCAAAGGAAAATGGACACAAAAAACCTGTGGTTTGTGATGATGCTGTATGTAATAGTCCAATCGTTTCCACATATTCTAATCGCGAGTAAAACAGAGAATGGAAGTCATTAAGTCAACCAAATCATTTTTAGACACTGACCACGAGGTATATTTCTTAAATTCAAAATTAGAATTAATAATATCAGACTAAAATCGTATAGTTACTGCGTCTCGCATAGATCTATGAAATTTAAAAAATACCTTGTAGTAAGCACATGTTCCTCCTCTGAAATATATATATATATATATATATATATATATATATATATATATATATATATATATATATATATATATATATATATATATATATATATAAAATCTCCTGTTTACACAAAGTTTGTATTAATAATGGTCATAAAACAGGAAAATATTGCTGTTATATTGTTAGGATGTACGACTGGATCCAGTTCACGGAGCGCTCCATTGCAGAGGTTGTGTGAAATGTGTCCCCGGTGAAACCTTTAATTCTGAGATAGGATATGGGGAATGTCTCAGCTGTACAAACTGTACTGCTCACCGAAAAACTGTTATTACAGAGTGTACAATAGAAACTGACACAGTCTGCAGCAAGGCTGCAATACAGGAGAACGGACAAATACAGTGAGTATAATTAATAACGAGATTCCATGGGAAAATATTTGTGCAAAATGGCAGTAAATTAATGAATTTAAATGTTTTTAAGAAGACAATATTGACGATGATGATGATCATAACCATTAATAACAATAAATTCAGGTCGCCCCAGAATAAGCGGAAGTCGGTTTCTCAGGATCAAACTAACTCAGATTCAAAATCAGACTCCGAAGTTAATATCGGCAAACAGGACCAAGAAAATACAGGTACAAGTTATAAAACTTGGTAAAGTTTAGATTATTGTTAGAAATACTAACTGAATATTAAGTTATAAAATAGCAGAGGTATATAATAGCTGCTTTTCTTTTTTTCCAGATTTGAATCCATTGCTGACATGGTCTGGTATTTCGGCAATAGCAATGTTTGTTCCTCTCTCAGTTGTTATGTTTTTCAGAAAAAATAGAGAAAAACTTAATTGCTGGAAAAAAGGTAACATTTATTGTATGTCATATGTGTATTCTTTAATAAAATTGATGACATTGTTTTCATCAAAGTATCCAGCATAAAATGCATGTTTAAATATAAATTATATATGATTGTTACTCTTTTTTTCCCCACAGACCTAGAAATTTCTATAGATGTCCAAGAGCAAGAAAGCTTAAAGAAAAAGTAAATATATTTTTTTTATTCATTAATCAAAAACTTTTTTAAATTGAAAAATCAACTAATATATCCTAATTCATCCGTTGTTTTCCAGTAGTTTTTCCCCTTGGTAGCTTTTACACCTGGAAAATCTGTTAGTTACTATATTGTAGATTATCCCCGCTAGTAGCCCCCCCCCCCCCCTCCCCCTCACGTTTTTAGTTCAAATTTAAGAGAAATGATTACAGGAAGCCATTAACTTATAAACTATATATTGCAAAGGATGGTCAGCCATAAATGTAACCGAAATGAAAAAAAAACGGGGGTAATCTACTACATTGTACATGTGTATATATGTATCATGTAAATTTAGAGGTAAATGCAAAATCTATATAGCCAGCCTATTGGCTTTATCTAAGATATAGCCAGATTTTCGGATGGAAAGACTACTAATATAGTCAGAAATCCAGGAGGGGTGGCTAAAGGTAAAGGCTAATATACAACACCGTCATTAAAACACAAATTATTTTATACAACAGAGATAACCATGATGTCCCTGTGACCCTTGAACCTGTCGAGGAATCTGCTTCTTTGAGCACCGTGAAATCAAAAGTAGATTGCACAGAAGAAACCTCTCAGTGTTTTGTACGACAGTCAGTCGTGTCTGAGGATATGCCACCATTAGAGAGCGACTTTTATTACAGTTTGAGCAGTAACATCAACTTAAAGGGATAAATGCAGAAAATCCACAACTGAGTATGATCATTTGTCATTTAAATTGTAAAGTTTGAAACACTGCTTAAAATGTATTCCTTCTGAATATGCCTGATTACTGAAAGTTGTTTATTTCTCAGTAATTTCAATTTTAGATGAAGTTCCTACATATAAAGAGCAACATGAAATATCAGATGAAGTTCAGATGAAGTTCTCAAAGACGAGAGTCAAACGATTTAATGGAATTCCTACAAAGAATTACAAGATATCTGTGGCAACAATTCTTGTAACAATCATTAAGGATTGTGAAATCCAGAGGACCAAGGAAGAACAGAGAAAAAAAGAATCCCATAAAGGCAGCTTGTTGAAATATTACCTACCTAAGGTTATACTGGTTGATTCGGCGTGAAAAAGTATCATAGTACGCTCGGACATGATGGTCAGCGTGAAAAAGTTTCAAAGTACGCTCAGACATGATGGTTTTGCGATTGTAAACCAGCTAGTTTTTTTTTTTTTGAATAATGGGTTTTGATGGTTCATGAATAGTGATGGTTGAAAGAGAAATCCTTATCTTTACGTTGTCCAGCTGATTGGATATATGTTTGAAAAAGAGGAAACGAGATGAGATGGACGGTTGCTGATACGACAGTTGTTGATTTGACAGATGTTGAATGTCATTTGAAGAAAGGGAGGAAATGCACAGTTGTGAATTGCTTTTGATAGTGTTTGATGTTAAATAATAATGCAAAAATGTAAAAGGTAAAGATAACGAACAGTGATCGATCTCAAAAAATCCATATTATCTGAAGAGGGCATACAACACGGACACCTGGAAATTCCAGAGGCGGGATCAGGTGCCTAGGAGGAGTAAGCATTCCCTGTTGACCGGTCACACCTGCCGTGAGCCCTATGTATAGATCAGGAAGACGGAACTATCCGTAGACATTAAGTACAGAAACAAAGGCCTAACGATTGGTCAACCAAAATACGACCCAATGATAGGTTATATTTTTCTAATAAGGTCACGACCAAACGAAATGCTGACTTCAAGCGAGGCTGTTGAAATCCCTGCAACTTATCAGTGATTAGCCTGCCTCGCTTTAAAAATTGATCGTACTCGGGGCAAGCTCTTGAGTAGCGAATAAGTTGGGAGACATAAACACCATAAGCAGGTAATAGTGGAATATTACTACATAAATAAGGATAGTTGACGATGGAAAAGCTGAAGTCATCTCGTTTTTATACAATTTAGTTGTTAATTGGCATTTATCGTCTATAGCAGTAAAATATCTAAATATGAAACAGATGTGACAGACTCTGGTGTCTTTTTATTTCACGTTCACTGGGATATATCTGGTCGATATACGAATGAAAATAACTTTTGTTAATTGATAAAACAACGTCGATATATCAGAATGTCGAATTGAAGGCTACAGCTAGTGTTTTCTTCTTCTTGTGTAGACGTTTTTGAATAAATTCTGTTTCAAAGGAATATAAAAACAGGTCACCTAATAAAGGAGCACAATTAGTGCCCATCGTAATTCCAACAGTTTATAGGAAAACTTGATCTCCGAAGACTATATAAATGTTTTCAATGGGGAACTCCAGCATTCTTTTAAAATCAACTTCAGAGTACTCGTGTGTACAATCAGAGTTTTTAACGAAGTAATTCTGCTTTATGACCAATCACAAGATGTGAAAATTTCCGAGTTTCGTTTTTATTTACGCGTAATTGTCTATGATATCAAAAAGTATAGATTTTAATTTATCGTGAGAAATTGTTGTATGAAGTGTAGAAAAGTTTTGATATTATAGACTTTTGAAAAATTTGGTAATTTTAAAGTTTCTAAAAGTTCTTTCGAGCTTCTGAAAGTTCTTTCGAGTTTTTAAGGATCCACATTTGATTTACACCACTTCTAGAATAAGCTGTAGCACAGTACGTCTGAAGTTTCACCTTTACAGCATGCAGTTAATATTTTTGTAAGGAGCAAGGATTAAAGCTTGGTATAGCATTTGCTGGACCCAGCAATGTATCTTTTTTTGTAAGGATATTTATGAAGTTTAAATGATATAAAATGATTTTTATTGAGCGGAGGAATCGTACATGATGGGGGCAACAACATTAGACATCCACCTATAGATAATAAGTGCATTTTAAAGTATATTTTTTTTTTAGTGTTTCCACTTGTCAGTTTTCCCCTTTATCACTCTTTTGACGGGAAGAACTAATGCACTTCATTTTCACTGACTAGATGATAATAATTTTATCCATGCCTGGTCACACAGCTAAATATTTACATCCACCGAATATTATTTCCTCTATTTCTTATGAAAACCATTGTCGTTCATATGTCAGTAAACGCTACTTAGTAAGCCACCTGCATAGGTTTCTTGAGCAATGGCTCTTCCATCAATCATGCATACAATTTCATACATATATGCAATACAATATTTAGCATACTAGTATTTAATTTTACTTTAATTTTACTTTAAATGGCTTTTTAAACAAATGTAAAAATAAACAATAAAATGTCTCTTTCTCTGTTAGTACGGGATTTAACGTCGCAGCCATTACAGAAAAACTAGAGGTACTGTGAGCTCTGAGCTCACAAAATGATACCCCGTCTACCGTATATTTGTAATGGCAAAGTCCATGTTTTGCTATGGGAGACCCAAAATATGTCCGATTAAAAAGTAAAATAGGAGGTGCACAATGACTCTATGTAATAAAGATTCTGTGAAAGTATCATTAAATTTTATTCAATGGTATAGGAGGAGTTGCGGATAAGAGATGGGTACCCCTCAATACTATAGAAAAAATGACAGTTTTCCAGGTTGTGCCATTGGAAAACCGAAATACGTCTCCCATCAAAAAGTGAAATAGGAGGTCACAATGGCACTATGAAACAAAGATTCTGTGAAAGTATCATTAAATTTTTATTCAGTGGTATAGGAGGAGTTGCGGATAAGAGATGGGTACCCTTCAATAATGAAACGCATACACCTGCTGAAACCTGTAGTATTATAATGACCCACTATTTTATGAGTAAAGGTTGCAGACGTTTCAAAGTTTGTGAGCCCTCCTGTACCTGTCAGAAATCAAGTAATGACAAAGATGATTAAAAATATCTATGAATTTATTAAGTTAAAAAGCACAAAGTCAAACGCGCTCTTTAATGTAGTTCAGGTCTCAAGGTGTTGATATTTTCTCGGGGTGATGCCTGGCTATTCATAAGAAGGTGTAGAAGTTCTGAGAAGGTGATAATCTCTGTTGATAACTAGAAGGTACACTTGGTACAGAGAAGGTGTAGAAGGTGACCTATCAACTGAAGGTGTACTTAACTATGGTACCTAACCAAGGTACATATAGTGTAGATAATATATAGGCTATATAATTGCAGTTATAATTCTAGTAGAAGTTGATAAAAGGTGATGGAAGGTGTTGAACTCTCTCTAGTTGCACCTTCTAGGGAAGGTGAGTAGGGATGCTGAATATGATACAGAAGGTAGTGATGGTGTTCCTACTAAACATCAATAGATCATGAATGGAATCTATGTTCAAATCTATGTAACTAATAGAGAAGGTGCAAAATATTCACCTTCGGAGCCGGATGGTCTGGCTGGAAAAGTTGCTGCTGACTCATTTTGTTATGTGACCGAAGTGATGATTTCAGGTCGGGATCGGCCTTATTTAGTGTTTATCACGTGACCCTTCATAATTATTCATGAAGGAAGATGGCGTCTGCGAATGAAAACACTGCTGAATTCTGCCTAGAGATTACGACTGATGCGGCTTATACAAAGTATTTAACGATGTCTTAACATTCATACGTGAGTAATTAAATCATGTAGATTCTGTTTATTATGTCTATAAATTATGGTAAATGGTATTTAAAGCTGAATCATCTCTCCGAGGTGACGATGTGCTGAGCACGTGTTGACATAATTATAGCTGGCTGTCAGCTGGGTGATTACGCTTAGTAATTCTATATAACACAAGTTGCTGATAGACAAAGTTGATAAATAGTTGTCTCTGCACCTCTAACTAATTGTTAAATCATCTTGAGGTTGTATTTCTTTCTGGATACAAGAATTATCCAATCCTTGTATACATTCACTGTAGTACAGTACAGCACTAAAGTAGACATCTACACAGACGACGTTAAATAATTTATGTATCAGGAATAATCCTTTAAATATTTGCAATAAATATTGTAACAACATCAACAATAAATAAATAATTATATATACACAGTAACATTAATAATAAATAAATAAATAGATAGATAAATACTAGGCCACTAATAATATAAATAGATAAATAAATAAGTAAATACTGTGCCACCACAGGTCCATAATACTACCCCCCACCTTTTAAAAACATTTGTCCTCAAATGTCTAAATCACATTTTGTTCAGGATGGCGAGTTGGCTACTTAATTCTTCACTTTTCAGCTCCATAATTTTCTTCTCACTTAAAAGTTCCAAATGCTTGAGTTCGTAGAACTTGGCTTCCAGAGTGATCTCTCGCAGAGCTCTGATATCATTTGGAAGTGCATCCAGCGGTAGGTCTCCTCCATTCCTCAAGTAATCTAATATGACAGAGAAGTTGTTAGGATTTCTATCTATAAAGTAGGTATAGACATTGTCCACACTGTAGGGCTTGATGCCTGATGGCGAAATCATCCTGGCTAGTAGAGCCTGAGGCTTTGTCATCAGTGTAGAGACGGATGTCTCAAATCGCCTGCCTCCTATGTTTAATATTAACCTTTTCCTTTGCGATTCTTTAACCCTTTTCATTCTTTCATCTGTCTTGGGAGTTGCAATATAATTAGGTGCAGTTATAACTTTGTTCTCTTTCTCTGTTGGTGAGTAGGTGGAATCTTGTGGGTTTGTTTGGGAGGAAGATGTGGAACAAGAAGCAGAAGTTGATGGTAGATTAGCATGATCTGGTGTTGAAGGGGCTGATGATATTTTCTTCAATGGGGGAAAGGTCACTTCATTGTCAAGTCTGGGCATCGCTTGCACAATTTCTTCAAATGCCTCCTGTATTTCGGTGTCTGAAAACTCCCCGGCATAAAGTGAAAGGCAGTCATCTTCTGGTCTTGAGGTTTCCACTGCTGGTGCCTTCTCCTTCTGTGATCTTATCTCAGGCTCCTGATTGGTGTTTTTACTTGTTTGGTCTTGCAGAGCTGACGGTCGAGCTGGCTTCACCTTATCTCTTGATTCCTTCTCCATGACTTTTCTAGTGTCTTCAGATCTAGTTCGCTTGTTGCCTTGTTGATTCTCTTTCTCCTCTTGCGTGTTACTCAAACTTCTCTGATGTGATCTTTTTCTGTTATTCTGCTGAATTTGGTGGCGTTCTGATGGTGTTCGCCGTAGGTCTTCCTTCTTCACAAAAATCTTCTGACTTAAACTTTTCATAAACTTTCGGTGTTCTTCTGCCTCCTCTTCTGTGAAAGTCTTGGTTGATTTCTTCCTCAGCAGAAGTTCATTGCCCACACATCTCCCTGAGTGATTGTCAGGTCTATTGAAGACCTTCAGGCAAATGGTACATTGATACCCAAAGCCGCTGTGTTTCTCAAACACGTGCCGCTCGCATAAACTCCGCCGCTCAAAAGATAATTCAGGGCACTCCGTACAGTGGAACATGGTAATCAGAAATTTGATATATAAGGTATCCTGAAGAAATTATAGATACTAGATTATAGATTATAGATATATTTACTTTGGATGATAGATACTAGATGATGCAGCTCTGCGCTCATTTGGTGTATAATTGGTGTTGATATTAAACTTTAATGTTGTTTATGTAGGGTTTGAGGCGATCATGATGTACAATCTTGGGCTTTGAGTGTTTGTTTTTCTGGATTTTGAAAATGACATCATTCAATTTTTGAATGATGGTGTAGGGACCCTCCCATTTACATTGTAGTTTGGGACAGAGGCCCTTAGACCTTCTGGGGTTGAAAAGCCATACTGATGCATTAGGTTCTAGTTGTAATATATTTGATTGTTTATCGTAACGCCGCTTCATGTTCTCTGAAGATAGTTGGAGGTTTTCTCTCGCAAATTGATGAATTTTCTCTATTCGTTGCTGGAATTGAAACGCATACACCTGCTGAAACCTGTAGTATTATAATGACCCACTATTTTATGAGTAAAGGTTGCAGACGTTTCAAAGTTTGTGAGCCCTCCTGTACCTGTCAGAAATCAAGTAATGACAAAGATGATTAAAAATATCTATGAATTTATTAAGTTAAAAAGCACAAAGTCAAACGCGCTCTTTAATGTAGTTCAGGTCTCAAGGTGTTGATATTTTCTCGGGGTGATGCCTGGCTATTCATAAGAAGGTGTAGAAGTTCTGAGAAGGTGATAATCTCTGTTGATAACTAGAAGGTACACTTGGTACAGAGAAGGTGTAGAAGGTGACCTATCAACTGAAGGTGTACTTAACTATGGTACCTAACCAAGGTACATATAGTGTAGATAATATATAGGCTATATAATTGCAGTTATAATTCTAGTAGAAGTTGATAAAAGGTGATGGAAGGTGTTGAACTCTCTCTAGTTGCACCTTCTAGGGAAGGTGAGTAGGGATGCTGAATATGATACAGAAGGTAGTGATGGTGTTCCTACTAAACATCAATAGATCATGAATGGAATCTATGTTCAAATCTATGTAACTAATAGAGAAGGTGCAAAATATTCACCTTCGGAGCCGGATGGTCTGGCTGGAAAAGTTGCTGCTGACTCATTTTGTTATGTGACCGAAGTGATGATTTCAGGTCGGGATCGGCCTTATTTAGTGTTTATCACGTGACCCTTCATAATTATTCATGAAGGAAGATGGCGTCTGCGAATGAAAACACTGCTGAATTCTGCCTAGAGATTACGACTGATGCGGCTTATACAAAGTATTTAACGATGTCTTAACATTCATACGTGAGTAATTAAATCATGTAGATTCTGTTTATTATGTCTATAAATTATGGTAAATGGTATTTAAAGCTGAATCATCTCTCCGAGGTGACGATGTGCTGAGCACGTGTTGACATAATTATAGCTGGCTGTCAGCTGGGTGATTACGCTTAGTAATTCTATATAACACAAGTTGCTGATAGACAAAGTTGACCTGTGGTGGCACAGTATTTACTTATTTATTTATCTATTTATATTATTAGTGGCCTAGTATTTATCTATCTATTTATTTATTTATTATTAATGTTACTGTGTATATATAATTATTTATTTATTGTTGATGTTGTTACAATATTTATTGCAAATATTTAAAGGATTATTCCTGATACATAAATTATTTAACGTCGTCTGTGTAGATGTCTACTTTAGTGCTGTACTGTACTACAGTGAATGTATACAAGGATTGGATAATTCTTGTATCCAGAAAGAAATACAACCTCAAGATGATTTAACAATTAGTTAGAGGTGCAGAGACAACTATTTATCAACTTTGTCTATCAGCAACTTGTGTTATATAGAATTACTAAGCGTAATCACCCAGCTGACAGCCAGCTATAATTATGTCAACACGTGCTCAGCACATCGTCACCTCGGAGAGATGATTCAGCTTTAAATACCATTTACCATAATTTATAGACATAATAAACAGAATCTACATGATTTAATTACTCACGTATGAATGTTAAGACATCGTTAAATACTTTGTATAAGCCGCATCAGTCGTAATCTCTAGGCAGAATTCAGCAGTGTTTTCATTCGCAGACGCCATCTTCCTTCATGAATAATTATGAAGGGTCACGTGATAAACACTATATAAGGCCGATCCCGACCTGAAATCATCACTTCGGTCACATAACAAAATGAGTCAGCAGCAACTTTTCCAGCCAGACCATCCGGCTCCGAAGGTGAATATTTTGCACCTTCTCTATTAGTTACATAGATTTGAACATAGATTCCATTCATGATCTATTGATGTTTAGTAGGAACACCATCACTACCTTCTGTATCATATTCAGCATCCCTACTCACCTTCCCTAGAAGGTGCAACTAGAGAGAGTTCAACACCTTCCATCACCTTTTATCAACTTCTACTAGAATTATAACTGCAATTATATAGCCTATATATTATCTACACTATATGTACCTTGGTTAGGTACCATAGTTAAGTACACCTTCAGTTGATAGGTCACCTTCTACACCTTCTCTGTACCAAGTGTACCTTCTAGTTATCAACAGAGATTATCACCTTCTCAGGACTTCTACACCTTCTTATGAATAGCCAGGCATCACCCCGAGAAAATATCAACACCTTGAGACCTGAACTACATTAAAGAGCGCGTTTGACTTTGTGCTTTTTAACTTAATAAATTCATAGATATTTTTAATCATCTTTGTCATTACTTGATTTCTGACAGGTACAGGAGGGCTCACAAACTTTGAAACGTCTGCAACCTTTACTCATAAAATAGTGGGTCATTATAATACTACAGGTTTCAGCAGGTGTATGCGTTTCAATAATATAGAAAAAAAAATGGCAGTTTTTGTATGTTGTGCCATTGGAAAACCGAAATATGTGTTCGATCAAAGAGTAAAATAGGAGGTGCACAATGGCACTATGTAACAAAGATTCTGTGAAAGCATTAAATTTTATTCTGTGATGTAAGAGGAGTTACGGATAAGAGATGTGTACCCCTGACGTACAGTCAGACGGACGGACACCCCCATCACTATACACCCCCGCTTTTCAAGCGGTGGAGGGGGGGGGGTATAAAAATTACATAACCCGCTTGTAAACGCGGGTTATTCATTTTTGCTACAACAGCTGCGACATTAATTCCCGTACTAACAACCAAAGAAAGCATTTTATTGTTTAAATGAAAACCCAATTAACTATGAGAAGAAAAATTGATTTTCCCCCACAAAAAAGATGCACATAATACTACTATTAAAAAAATGCATATACTAAGATATAGTGATAAAAAGACATCTTGTCGAGAGGTCCTCTTTATATGTGCGTCACTGGAGAATCAAGTGACACATATGAAACAAGCACGAGACAAAGTTTTGTGGGTGCGGATTGTCGTCTATTCAAACTGTGCAAGAAAATATATCAGCAAATTAAATTACAGCCCCTTATCTTTTAGCAGATTACAATTTACTGGAAAAAATTACAGATATAGCATATGATATTTTTCCTGAATGAAAAATGCTAATTGAAAATATGTGTAATACATATTTTACAACTATAACGTGTTTTTATCGTTTTAAATGATTTTTGCAACTTTTCAAGTTTGATTGGATAAAAAGTGGTTATATAGTGCTTATAAAACACTTTTTGGTTATTTATTTACAACCTTAGAAAAGAAATCGAAAGATTCGATTCTCTTTTGGTGTTGTAACGAATCGTCACAAGATACTAAAAATAATACAGTCATTACCCAATTACTGTGCTTCCGTAAACAATAATACTAGTATTGTGCAATCTTCGAACCTTCGAGAACAGTTTTGTATACGACCAATCCTATATCTTCACGAGGGATTTCATCACCCAAAAACAATGAACGGACGGATTTTGTTTACTCTCTCTTCAGTCGTTCTATGGGACAGACCTGACAGGTCAGTTTATTTTTATTGTATATTTACCTACATGTTGTGATACATATTTAAACTCAATCTATGATGATAAATATGCTGACATTTAAAAAAAATACTCCATTTAAAAAAATTCTTTTTAAGTTTTAATTATAATGCTCAGTTAGGCATTTCCTTTATTGGACAGTTTGACGAAGTATCAACAGACAGTACATGATTTAAATAGTTAATATAAAGCTTTAGTCTTCAAAATATTATTGTTACGTGTTTTAATATGGAACGCCATAGCTGCCTTATGTAAGGTGATTTTATTATATTCTGTGGGTCTTTTATTATATGCTGTGGATTCATAATTATATGCAGTGTGTCTATTTTATGCTGTGGGTCTATTATATGTTGTGGGTTCATAATTATATGCTGTGGTTCTTTTATTATATGCTGTGGTTTTATTATTATATGCTGTGGTTTCATTATTATATGCTGTGGGTTTATAATTATATGTTGTGGGTTTATAATTATTTTCAAAAAAAGTGGCCCCCATCAGCCGCTTACCTCAAATCACTTGACACTAATCTAGTGTTTCGACGGTGCGATATATACGAGGTTTATGATTTTGATAGTTTATCAATTAGCTGCAAATCCGCCATCATCAGGAGCCTATTTGCACATTTGATATACAGATTATTCAATAAATTAGGAGAAGAGCATATCACTCAGATTCTTATTGTGTTTAATGACACAATAGGTTATTCGGGGAGGATTGTAATGCAATCCTTTTATTTCTTAGAATGTGTATTTCAATAATTTATTATCCCTCATCGCACATGCAATAAACTTGTTTCAAATTTCATTGGTATAATTTTATGTAAGCGAATTTTGCATACAGAATGGGGTCCCTGACTTAGAACCCATCGAATATTCATTATTCAGTGATTTATTTGTAAATATTTGCATTGAATTCAAATATATCTGGGATAAATCTGAGTAATAACTTAGTTCTGCTGTAGACGGGGCTTAGACTGAAAAAAACTATTGTCAATTTCTCTGTAAGCCGTATCAACGGCAGCTATTAGCTCCTCCAATTGCATACATGTAAAGTGATGGTGCATCATAGCTGACCAGCAAGTACTTGCTGTGTGGTCGCAGAAGTTTACTCTTCAGTATGAAGTCTGAGCTTTTCGTAAAGTCTGTGCTCAAGTTATTTATGCACAATGAATGATTAAAAAATATCGTCAATACAGTTGACTTCATTTTTCAGTAAGTGCCTTTTTTGAAATGTAATAGGCCCTCCTTGAAAAATCATGGTATTTTGCAGCATCTATTACTTATAGTGGAATAACAGATTTCGGTTTCAAACTTGTATATTTTATGGAGTAGATATAATCTCTCCGTCCTCGTGTTATCTGCTTTGTGCAGAAAACTATAAGTAATATCATCAACTACACACGTTGCATTCATTTCAGCAATGCGTTCTTCAAGATGTTTTAAATTGGGATACAAAATTCAGCAGTTATATATTTTGAATTTAATTGGCGTTTATACGGTTCTCTTTAATTTATTCGATTAGAGCATGACCATAGTGAAATAATTGAGTCAGCTTTTTTGTAACTGAAGTCATTGTGTTTTAGTAAGTTCCTCCAAAGCTTTTTGTTCAAGCAAATCTAGATTGTCAAAAGACTTTCACTGATGACAATTCAAGTTTTGTTTTGTCAAATTACGTAGTATGGAGTCATTATAATTCTGGCTCAAATTTCAGTGTTCTCATTAGGATCATGGACATGTATCTGTATTCAACTTTTCAACAAGCTCATTGAAAAACGAATGTTGTGACTTTGGCGAGGGCCCTTTCGTCAAATATATTCATCATCAGACACTTTCTTTGAAAATTAATGAAGTATACCTCAGTATATAGTTTTGAAACCACAATATATAATTATGAAACCATAGCATATAATAGAAGATGCACAGCATATAATTATGAACCCACAGCATATAATAGACCCACATCGTATAATTATGAACCCACAGCATATAATAATATACCCACAGCATATAATTATGAACCCACAGCATATAATAATAGACCCACAGCATATAATGATAGACCCGCAGCATATAATAAAACAGCTAACATGAGGCAGCCATGGCGTTCCATATTTTAACTACCAAGAGTTGCATCTCTTTAATGCACATGACGGTGACTCATTATATGTATTTGACGTCAATGTATATCAATAAAAAAATGTTTGAGGCTTTAAAGAAAAAAAAAGAATCATTGACAAGATTTTGTCGAGGAAAGAAGTAAAATCGACTTAAACATTTTTAAATAGTTAAAACTCTGACATTCTGATTGTCATTTTTTTTATTTTGGTTTAAACATACCATTAATTGTCACAGACATTAAGTTTATCTTCTCTAATTCCTTACCTCAGCAATGGCTCCTATCCTCATCCTATTGACATTGTCAATGGTGACTGTAACCACAGGAGGAGCAGATGTCTACTGTGATATGGAGAACAATCAGTTTTATGTGGAACAGTGGGGACAGTGCAAAGATTGTGATAGATGTCCAAAAGGATACGGACTGGATATAAAGAGAGTAAGGAGGTTACTTTCCTATCCAGAACCTCTGAAATTCTATCTCTCTCTTTATAGTCGTGTTGTATACATTAAACTAACATAATGAAGGTAACATACATCATATACAAATTCGTCAATAACCTTCAAATAAAGATGTACGTAAGTTTAATTATTAGTTTTTGGAGGAATTAAAAAATAAACATTGATTTATCATTTCAGAATATAAATATTGACCCAGTTCACGGAGCTCTCAGCTGTAGAGGCTGTGTTAAATGTATAGACGGTGAGACGTTTGAATCTGTTATCGGATATGGCGAATGTAAGAGCTGTACCAATTGCAAAGTACAGGAAAAAAGTATTGCAACACCTTGTACAAAAGAAAGGGATACAGTCTGCACCAGGAAATTTGTAATGAAGGAGAGCCAAACTCCGTGAGTAAGATTCAATAACACTGGCTTAGAAGTTCTTTTTAAACAATTCATTGGTTTTGTTATTAAAAAACCTTTAAATTGTTTAGTTTGCTTCAAATAACATCAAAACCAATTTCTCTCAACAGTGTTGAAGACAACAATGGTGTTCAGAACAAGGGATACCATACGGGTATGTTTTATGAGTAAATTGACAGGAATGATACATCCATTACAACAAAGAGGTAAAATAAATATTAATCTATGATGTGTATAATTTTGTAATTTTTTTTTAGATCTTGACCCTTTATCTACAACAGTTGGTGCTGTGGTGGTTTTTATCTTTGTTGTTCCATCAGCAGTGATACTCGTCATAATGAGGAAAAGATTAAATTGTCGTAAACAAGGTTCAGGCAAAGAATATCATTTTCAGAAATAACTTAATTATGCTTTTTTGAAACAATAATTGATTATATATATATATCAGTATTCAACCATGATTTGAATATGATAAATTTTTCAGATTCGTCAATGTCCGACGACGTTGAAGAAAATGACAGACTCGGTAAAAAGTGCGTATCCTTAATTATGGTTATACATGTATCATGAAAAAAATTTAAAATTCACATACTGTATAGGGGGAAATTAACTCGCGGTGTTAATATTCGCTATATTCACGGTGTTAATAAATCCGTGAAATCAAGAAACAGTGAATTAGTTTTCAATAACCTCCATGTCTTATTTGGAAATTTTAGAATAGACTTCGATAGGTATATATACGTGCAGTACATGGTCATTTCAGTAATTACGAGTAGTACTTGTCATTCAATTATTTTAATTAGCACGCTTTACTTTAATTCAAATCTGCAGATAATAACCTGTATTTGTTAAAACGCTGTTTTAATAGCCAACACTACATGTTTCATGAATCAAAACACGTGGGTCATGGGTTTTGATAACCCGTGCGTAACTAATGTGTTACCTGCATTATCATGCGTAGTAGTTTTTATCGTCATTTTGGTTTTAAAAAATCATTCAAATAACTATCGAACTTGCTGAAGATGTGGAAGGATATTATATCGTCGACATACATTAACACATTTATTATCGTCCAGTGATATTTCGCCGCGGTGTATTATCCCTTCGGAAAGAAGATCTTGGGGTGTACATGCACTCATCGTAACAGCATATAGGAAAGTCATTCGACATTTATAGTCAAGGACTTTTAATAATTGCACTTATATTAATTAATCGTAAATTAATTATTAAACCGAACTATTTTATGTAAACCAACCCTGTTTTTCGTGAAGTGAATACATAACGCTGATTAATGTCGTTCTAGCTATGATACGGATTAAACGGATATAGACAAGGGAGGTAACTTTTATTATATACCGATTCCGCGAATTCAACAAACCGCGATCGTGCCAGAGGAGAGAAAAACGTGAAAATTACAACCCGTGAAATTAATCCCCTATACAGTATATGTATTTCGAAGTTAAAAGGATATAGAAAAAAAATCATAACACTCAAAAATATTTTTTTCAATCGTTAGAGATGTTGAGTGTGATCCCCCTACCTGCAAAACCGAAATGGAAACGATCAACTCATCTGAATTGGAGTGTGAAGCAAGACCTCTGACAGAAAGTGAACGGAATAAAACGAACAAGGAAAGAAGACGGCCGTCTGATGTTTCCATTGATTTCCCCAGCAATTTTTATTATGATTTAAAACATCTAGATGATAATGATTTAGAGACAGATACAGAAGAACAGAAATCAGACCCAAGTAAGTTGTCAAATCTTACGATTAGAATAATGTATGGAATTTTGTTTGTCAGTTGTAAATGTTTTTAATATTGTAAAATAAAATCTTATAAACATGTATACTATTAATTACAGGATTGAATGAAATTCCATCTGACAAAGAATTACAATATTTATGTCCACATATTGCTCATTGTAATAATTATGCTCGTCTTGGTCGAGAGTTGGGAGTTGAAGACAGTGAAATAAAGAGAATAAAAGAAGAACAGCATGGCGACCTCCGAGAAACAGCTTTTCAGACACTAAAGAAGTGGAGAGAACTAAATGGACAATTAGCAACAAAGTTTAAACTTCAATGCGCACTCGCAAGAATTGGAATTAATGGTATTTCTTTAGTTGATGATCCATGATATGTAACTTTGTTGCTTTGGTGAGATAAATACCTACCCAAGGTAAGGAATGGTGTTCAGGGGATTGCCGAAACCCTAATCTGGTTCCAGCTCCAGGTTCAAAGAACAGGTTCAGGTTCCTCAGGCTGACACAGCAATATGGTACCGACGGTGTACTTGTTATGTTTTGTTCATGGTATGCAATAGGTTGCATGCAGTATACCTTAAACAATTTAATTATACATGTATATACTTGAGAAAGAAGATAAGGGAAATTTCATTGTTGCGTTTTTTTTTCAAATATTTGTTACACATGTATAACATGTATATTGTCAAATTAATTTTTGTTGCAAATAAATAATACAACTAAACATATCTTTGTTATTCTGACGAATGCGTTTTTAAACGAGACATGTACATGTAAAAGATTCTTACAGGAAGTATATATGCTTTGATCAAACAACGGATTGTTTACATGTAATTGTCATTTGAGTTGAAAAATTAGACTTGCTAAAGTCTCTCTGTTCATTTTCAGTGCTCCCTTTAATACTTTTTGACAATACCAAATATATCATTGGGTCGTATGTTGACGGACATATTTCATGCCAATTGTTAGGCCTTTGTTTATATACTAAATTTCAGTACGGATTATTCCTTCCACCTGATCAATACATATTAAGCTCACGGTGGGTTTGACCTGTCGACAGGGGATGCTTACTCCTCCTTGGTACGTGATTCCACCTCTGGATTTTCAAGGTCTCCCTATTTTAAGCCCTTTCACAGATATGTTTTTGTTGTGGGTTTCTAGAGATCGATCAATGGTCGTTAACTTCACCTTTTTTCATTTAATAATATGGTTGGGAGCAGAGATTCAAATATCCCGAACACAGTAAAAAAAAAGTCTACATCTATTTCAGTTGCTCTCTTAAATAGTTTTGACAATGCCGGCATTATGTTTGATAAGATTTAAACATGAAATAAGGTAGAGAGCAGAGATTCGATTTTCCGAACTCGATAAAAGTTTGAATAAAAATTCAACAAGTAGATTAAAAAATAAAAACGAGCAAATCTAGTGAAAAATCTTAATCGAGGAATTGAATAAATCACGAAACAGGACCTGGCGACATTTATACTTTCGTTTGTGTTATTTATAGCTACGATCATTTTTCTGAAGATAATTGTAGATCAATCACGATTAGTTACAGATACAGCTTAATATAGTGCTTAATTTTAACGAAAGAACATGAAAAATAAATGATCACAAGAAAGTAAATGTCATGGTCACATTATTTTGCAGAAAGGAAAAAATGCTCACACTGGAAGTACAGAAAAAAGATTTTGAATTGAGGATATAGTCGTGGTTACGATTTTATTTATCTGATTTTTTAAAAATAAAAATTAAATAATAAAAAAGAAAACGAACAGTGATCGATCTCAGAAACATTTTAAACAATACAAATTTGTGAGCAGGTCGTAAAACACGGAGACCTGTAAATTTCAGAGATAGGATCAGATGCCTAGGAGGAGCTGTTGACTGGTCACAACCACCGTGAGCCCTATTTATTGATCAGGTAGACGGAGTAGTCCATAGTCAATTTAATATACAGATAATGGTCTAACAATTGGCATGAAACATGTCGGTCAACTTATGATCCAATGATAGGTTGTATTTGCAAACAAGGTTATTATGATGACCATAAAATTCTCAAAATGCTGACTTTAAACGAGGGTTTTTTTTTTACATCCCTATTACGTCAGCTTATGTGTCAGTTGCCTGTCTCTATTTCAAAATTGAATGTACTCGGAGTATGCTCTTGCGTATCAAATAAATTGGGAAATAAAAACACCATATGCAGATGACAGTGGAATATTACTACATAAATAAGGAAACTTGACAATGGAAAAGCTGATGTCATATCGTTTGTCATACAGTTTTGTTGTTAGTTGGTCATTATCGCCTGTAGTCAGTTAAAAGTAAAAAAAAAAAAAAAAGATGTGGCAGACTCTGAGGAGTCTTTTATTTTGAGTTCAGTGGGATATAACGAGTCGAATTATAAATGAAAGTAACTATTGTTATTTGATAAAATGTCGTTGATATATCTGAATGTCGAGTTGAAGGCTGCAGCAAGTATTTCCTTCTTCTCATGTAGAACCGTCCGTTCACGGTAGCTCAGTCGGTAGAGCCTCGCTCCGTGATCGGGAAGTCGTGAGTTCGAATCTCGGCTGTGACTGACCTAAGTCGATAAAAAATGGGTAGCAACTGTTCCTTCGCCATGCGCTCAGCACTTTGAAGTGAAAGTTGCGGGTCCTTCGGATGAAACCTTAAAACCGAGGCCCCTTGTCACGGCAGGCGTTGGCACGATAAAGATCCCTCACTGCTCATTGGCCCTGAGTGCCGAGTAAAGGTCAAAATTTGAAGCCCTTCACCGGTATATGGTGACGTCTCTATATGAGTGAAAATTCTCGAATGGGACGTTAAACAACATACAATCAATCAATCAATCTTCTCATGTAGACGTTCCTAAATTTTGCTTCATAGGAATACAGAAACAGGTCTGCTAATAATGGAGCACAATAAGTGCTCTCCAAATTCCAATAGATTGTTGGAAAATCTTGTTTCCAAAGACTACATATAGATGTTGTCAGTGAGGAACTCAAGCATCCCTTCAATATTAACAGCAGACTACTTGTGAGTAGGATCAGAATGGTTTTTAACAAAGTAATTTTGGAGATGACCAATCTCAAGATATTAAAATTTCTGAGTTCCGTTTTTAATGAAGAAGCAGTTGTCTATTATATCAAAAAGCCTAGTCTTTAATTTATCGCGAGAAATGGTTGTATAAAGAGAAAAGTAGTCATACGTTTTCATGTTACTGGCTTTTGAAGAAAATTTTGATTGTATATTTTCTAACTTTTTTTTTAGTTTTTGAGAATCCATATTTGATTGACACCACTTCTTAAATATGCTGTAGCACAGTACGTCTCCTTTAAAGCAGTTAATATTTTTTGTGAGAAATAAAGATAGGGGCTTGGTAGAACATTTTCTTGACCATGCAATGTATCCTTGTTTTAAGAATTTTTCTGAAGTTTAGGAACCCAGTATAGGTAGGATAAATAACTTACGTTGACTGAAATGTTAAAATTATTAAAGACTGAAATGTGATATTGAAGAATTTCATTCTTTTAAAGTGAACTGTGGGTATTTTGGATTTTAAGATGTAGAATTAAAATCAAGTTCTTCTAAATTACAGTTGTAAAGCCTTGTTTAGTGGAACCAAAAGATACTGTTCATGTAGTCTTTCTATCATGTCTATCACCTCCGGTTTAGAGAAAGAAAGGAAAGATATGGTTCGCATTTGGCCTTTTAACTTTCTGTATTAAAGTATTAAACACATGCTTCAATTGTATATTCTATATCCCCAATAATAACTATAATTATTTTAAACGCATTATTCACCAAAGTAGATTCTGTAATTGTAAGAAGTGGAACAAAATCACAATGAGACTGTGAAAAGACAAACTAAAATCTAATAGCGTTTCTTGATATTTTCTTATTTGCAAATGACAAGATATGATCAAGTTGTATTTAATTATTCTGCATTCGAGTGCCCGATAAAAATTTGTGACGTCAAAGTACGTAAAAAGTAAGTCACCATTGTATACTCACATGCATATCGGATTGATAAGAAATGCATCAGGCGATGATGTTATCAGGAAACTGTAAAAACATGACATTTGACATTTACATGTATTTTCAGATTCTTAATTATCTATGCATAAAAATTCATAAAATTGTTCCAAAATTCTTTATTTTCTAAATTTCAACAATTAAATGATTCATTGGACAAAGTTTATTTACTTGCATGGTATTTTACATTTATATATTTTAAACAAAAATGTAAATACAATACCTGTAATAAATATAAGTATTTTTCAAGTGTATTAATGTCCTTGACTTTTCTCTTTAGAAAGGTGGATTGCATAGCCAGACTATGCCTTGACTCGTGTGTCATACTGTTGATCATATAGTAAAAAGAGTTACTCTACCGTGACGATTGACGTCATGTGCAATGTAAATATTTTGCAGTCTTATGAGAAACGCGCTTAGCTCAATGTGCTGGCTAAATTCCAATGAATATGGTTTAGACCAATCACATTTCAACACGAAGAATAATATGAACAAAACCATGATGTATGATGAATTGTTAGTTGTTGACCAGCTTACTGTACTCTGGACGAAATGTAGCAGGTACAGTTACTTCATTGTTTATATGTTCCCTACTTTGGCTGACATTTTTATCAACACTGTACTCTTACAAATTATTATGCTATCAAGCTTGCTTGAAATATATTCTGTTCCTTCAATATTTATTAGTAAACATGTATTACTATAAAAGAACTTTAATTTAAAAAAAAGGGTCAAGAGTTACATCCCTTTTATCAACCACATGCCGGTGACTCACCCTGTGACGTCAATGATTCTTTCTAGCTATATTTTACATTCGGTCATGTTACTTGAACACTTTTTACATAGCTGTTTGAATGAGGTGAAGTGTTCCCAAGAAATTTCTGTTACATCTTACTTGCTTAAACCTCGAAAAACTTTTAATCCTTACATTTATCTTATATATTCAGATATTATATTATTTTAATACTTATTCTCAACTTCTCAATACTTTATAGAATTAATATGAAATTTGTTGCTTTCAGCAATGGTTTATTTCTTTATCATATTGTCACTGGCAGCCGTGACTGTCATCGGCGGAAAAGATGTTTACTGTGATATTGAAAACAACAAGTTTTATGTGGAACAGTGGGGACAGTGCAAAGATTGTGATAGATGTCCAAAAGGATACGGACTAGATGTAAAGGAAGTAAGAGATAGACTATAGCTTGAAAATTTACAAGTTCGTAACGCTACTCCACTAATGGTGAAGAACACATTGTTTAAAACCATTTAAAATATTTTTGGGCAATCAAAATTATTTCTATGTCTTACAACGTACAAAGTTTCAAATAGATTTCATAAATAAATACTTACATTTCAAAATATTTTTTCCTTAAGATTCTTTGCAAATTATAGAAAAAGTTAATGTTCTCATGAACTATCATGGGATGAGTAAGAAAATTTCCATTGTGATGTGATTAAAGTCAAAAACTAGTGCAAACTTTTTTTTTAAAAAATTATCGTTGAATGACAAAAATATGTGGCAAGTCATCAGAAAAATAATGTAAATATAAGATATGAATTTAATTTTTGAGAATTCAGGAGGTACATGAACTACAACGCTTCACGCCTGCATATTTATCATGAAGCGCTAACGCGCTTCATGAAATATGCCGAGCGTGAAACGTCGTAGTTCATGTCCTCATGAATTCTCAAAAATTAAATTCATCTCTTAAATGACTTACTATTTCTTGTATATGTGTTGTTATGATAGGACGTAAGAATAAGTCCAGTTTATGGGGCACTTTCCTGTAGAAGATGTTTGAAATGTGTTGCTGGGAATACCTTTAAATCAAGGATAGGCTACGGCGAATGTGTTAGGTGCACAAACTGCACAGCAGTAGGGAAAATTGTGGCTAAACGTTGCACTATTGAATCGGATACCGTTTGCACCGGGACAACACCAGTGTGAGTTTAAGTTCATATAAAGTTCTTATAGCATCAATCCCTTCGTATTTTCTGAAATCCAAGATTTTTTTCTAATGAAATATCTTTTACAGTGTATTTCAGCAACAAACAATTTCTTCTGAAAACGACAACAGTGTAAAACACAATAATAAGGAAAAGACAGGTATAAATATAATATATATAAATCAAAATATTCGCTCATAAAGAAAATGTCCAGGCATTTTTTAACTATGTATTTTACTGTTTCTAGGAAGTTTTGACCAAGTTCTAACCGGGATTGGTGCGGGGATACTTCTATTCTTTGTTCTTATATCAGTGTTCCTGATTATAAAGAATAGGAAAAGGTTGCCATGCTGCAGAAATGGTAATATTTAAACTTATCTTCAAATTATTTATCTTAAGCATATATTTAATGTTACCTGTTTAATTTGGTGTACTTTGTATTTTTCGGCAGGTCCCAGTTCGTCTGATGACATCGAAGAGCAAAACGGTTTAACTGCAAAGTGAGTAATACACTACTTGGTTCATCCAATGAACAGTTTATTGAATAAATAATTACACTGATAACCATGATTATCAGTCTATATTTGATTGTGTTCAAATCAGAATATATTATAGGAGAAATAGCACTTGGAAATGAACTACAACGTGTTCTATTTTACCAAAGTATAACTTCAATAGACGATAGTTTATTTGTATGTAATGTATGTTTATTAGAGGACAAAAAATGAAGATCTGACAAATAATTACAGACAAACAGACTGCGTTTCCGCATGTTAGTATTGCAAGAAAGGGTGGCTCTTTTCAGGAACGCTGGTGAATACTTCCGTACCATTGAAACTGAGGTTGAGTCCGTACCTTTAAAATCCATCGGATCCGTAGAAGTATCTCCAGTTCGTGAGCGACAACACTCAGTTGCATCCGAAGACATGCCTTCATTAGACAGCAACTTTCACTATCGTTTGAACCCCTATCAGGATGGAGAAGAAATTGAAACCGATGCAGACCAATTACCCAATCCTTGTATGTATGAAAGATATAAATTCTCTTAAAAGAATTCACTCGTAAAATTCCGTATTGATTTAGATATCTATCATATATTGTAGAGCAAAGCTTTTTATTTTCTTTATTTTCAGGGCTTTATGAAATTCCTACAGACAGAGAGCTTCAAAGAATTTGTCCCCACATTGCTCATAATAACCACTTTACTCGGCTCGGTCGAGAATTAGGAGTTAGGGATAGCGAAATACAGAGAATCAAGGAAGAGCAGAGGAACGATTCCTTAGAGGCAGCTTTCCAAACTCTGAAGAAATGGCGGGAAATAAATGGAAACTTAGCAACAAAAATGGTTCTTCAAGAGGCGCTAAGAAGGGTTGAACTCAGTCATGTACATATGACTTTGGTTGATGATGCTTGATCAGCTGTGACAATGAAATGAATAGATAATGCTGAACTCGGGTATCCACGTACCCAGTTAATGCCTTCCACAGGTATACACATGTAATATCGACCCAAGGTATACACAGAAAATACCTACCCCAGGTATACACATGTAATACATATCCCGGGTATACACATGTGGTACCGACCCAAGGTATACACAGAAGATTCCTACCATAGGTATACACATGTAATACCTACCCAAGGTATACACATGTAATACCTACCTCAGATATACCTCCTTTATAAGTGATTCAGCGGGAAAACATTGACAGATTGAACACTCAGACGTACACAGATGATTATGCATGCAAATGTGTATATGGAGGGATTCTGAATTGGTTGTATCCAAAAAATCCACGATCTTATGTCGCGGCAATACATATGCTACACTGTAATAAATTGACATTAAATGAAAAACAGTACTGTTAAAAAACTGAAGATTGATAGAAATTACTGACAGAATGTGCGTTTATAAATTTAATTTTGTTTCAAATAAATATTTTTCCAAAAAATATTCTGTTTCTTTTTTAACTACACAGCTTAGTCTGGGAAATCTGAACCTACCAAGGAATTTACTAAATCTTCCCGTTTGTAAATTTGATTAACCACAATGAATTAAAACTAGATAGGCGTCCGCCTCAATGGAAATAGCGTGGGCGACTGTACTTAGGGATTCATTGATTAAAATATGACACCTGTATTCTGTTTAGGTGAGAGAATTTTGTACTTGCGTTAAGGATTCTTCTCGGCATTTAATATTAATGTGTAGTTTAAGTAAGACTTTTATTTAAAATTCAGACACCAGTTTTAACTTAAATCATTGTAAGTGAAGCGATAAAGAAATGATTTAAGTTTAAACATTTGTAATGGCCCCATCAAAGTTGTTAATCAGGTAAAAATTGTCAATACCATACTACACTTCGTAGAGGTAATACTTTTAACATACATTGAATTTATTAGATATCAGACTGTCAACTGATCGAGTTATATCACGATATCTATAAGACCCGAAAATTCTCCAGAACCACAGGGCCAATTTCAACCAAACTTGGCACAGAGTATTCTTGGGTAAAGGGGATTCAAATTTGTTCAAATGAAGGGCCACGCCCTCTTCCAAGGGGAAATAATTATAAAATAGTGAAAAATTAATGGCATCTTTTAAAAATCTTCTTCTCAAGAAGCAATGGGCCAGGAAAGATAAAACTCATGTGGAATTATCATCAGGTAGTGTAGATATAAGTTTGTCCAAATCATGACCCCTGGGGGTAGGGTGGGGCCACAATGGACGATCATAGTTTTACATAGGAGTATATAGGAAAAATCTTTTAAAATCTTCTTCTCAAGAACAACAGAGCCATGATTGGTCATTTTTATGTGAAAGCATCCTCAGGTGATGTAGATTCATATTTGTTCAAATCATGACCCCCGGGGGTAGGGTGCGGCCACAATGAATGATCATAGTTTAACAAATGAGTATATAGGAAAAATCTTCAAAAATCTTCTCAAGAACAGCAAAGCCATCATTGGTCATATTTATATGGAAGCATCCACAGGTGGTGTAGATTCAAATTTGTTCAAATCATGACCCCCAGGGGTTGGGTGGGGGCGGCGATGGACAATCCAAGTTTTGCTTAGGAGTATATAGGAAAAATCGTCTTCCCAAGAACAGCAAAGCCATGGTTGGTCATATTTATTTGAAAGCATCCTCAGGTAGTGTAGATTCAAGTTTGTTCAATTCATGACCCCTGGGGGTAGGGTGGGGCCACAATGGATGATCAAAGTTTTACGTAGGAGTACGTCATATATAGGAAAAATCTTTAATGTATTTAGATGCTTTTACATAATTTAAGGCACCTTCTTTTATATAATTGATATTATTACGACAAGTTTTATCGACTTAAAAAAATATTGATTTTAAGATATGTGATCAAAGCAAGATATTTAATCATATCAATATAGTAATATCGATATGTAAAAATAAAGATATAGTTATATAGATATAAATTTATGAATATTTCAGAGAAAAAGTGAGAAAATATTGCTATTGAATTAACTTGCAGGGGCGGGAATTCTAATGAATCTTCACTTCACTCAGGATTCAGTGAAAGCTCCTGTAACATGTATTTGCTATTGTTTACGATTATAGGCTGTTACAGATTCAATAATATTTTCAAAAAAGGAGATAAAGAGAAATCAACAGTTAGATCATAGGTGTAGTCATAGGGGGCTATATATTGTCATTATAAGCACTTTTGAAGAGGGGGAGAGGCAAGAGTATCTTTGTGTCCCTCCTCCAGCTTTTTTTTTTAAACCTGAGTATATATATCCAATAATAACAAAGAATACTCGCAGTTGGATAATTAAATCTCTTTTTTTTTTCTTGTCATATATTTTATTTGCCTGACCCCACCCTTTCCCTCTTTCAACTCTGACGAAGCTTATGCAGATTGGCTGCAATGAAGCACAGATTATTTTACATTATTTTAAGTAATTAGAAGTTACATGTAGATCTGATGTGCTGATATAGTCAATTTTTATCTGATATATATATTCTATCATGATTCACTGCTTAATTTTTTGGAGTTGGGGGGGGGGGGTGCAAGACTGTGGAGATTCACGTCTATGTGGCACATCCTATGTTTACCACAGAGTGATAAAACATCAAGTATTTACAGAGTATATATAGCCAGTGTCATTTTTATAATATTTTATTTTCTACTTTCGCTTCATCCATAAATAGGACAAGTACTAAATGTATTTATGAATGGAACATTGAAACGATGGGAAAGGGGGGAGCTGTCCTTAATTATTTTAGTCACAGCATATTTGTTTTGCATCCAATGCTAGAATATAATTCTTATTTCAAAGGGAGTTTGATGATATTTATTTATTAATAAGAAAAAATTATAAATTATTACTAGACATGCATATACTAGTAGATTTCATTTCTCATTAATCAGAATGATTTGATTAAAATTTATATTTGCTTCAATGGGGACAATCTAACTGATCACCTCCCTCTTCTTCTTTAATTTGTTTTTTTTTCTATAACCATACAACAAATATTTAACACTTTACACATGACACCGTGACGTTATACATCAATCTAATTAAAATTAGATGTTAGATCCGCTCGCATACTCTCTACACTAACTTAGTGTAGCGAGTATGCGAGCGGATCTAACATCTAATTTTAATTAGATTGCGTTGTACATGTGCCGTCAATAAATCTGAGAGATGCGACGTTTCATTATCCCGCGCCCGCGAAGTTAGTTGGAGAATAATATTTTCAAACTTTTCCCCTAGAAATACTAGCATATTTATATCAATTTAACTCTTATGCATATATTTTTATTGTGTGTGTCGAGCTAACTACATCGATATCTTTAATTTTCATGCTTAAATCAATATTTTTCATATCGATATTTTTAAGTCGATATACTAGTAACTTTTAGCAATAAAATCCATCACACAGAAAAGACGCTTTAAATTATGTGAAAATACCCAGATACAAAACAACAAATGAATGAAAATAAGAAGTCATAACCGATTATATGTTGGTAAGACAATAAATAGATAGACAAGTGTATAGACCTTTACGCTTCCGTAGACATTTGATAGTCCCCATCGTAATGCTTTAGTGGAAATACTTACGCTGTAGTAAAGTTTGTTGGCTTCATTAGAAAAACAATGTACTTTGTCGTCATATTGTTTTGAATGACAATGAATCATTTATTTACGAATATGCAATTTATATACACTGTATGTATGTTCTTTTCTTGTCTTTAATTTTATGCCTCACGTAATTATACTTTCATTTCAGGCAGGTCTATATATACTCGAAAAATGTTTTGATTGACAGCAAACATTTCCTTATCTAATGATTATTTATTATTATAATAAATATTATTTTATTGATATTAATTTTTATTGTAAGATTGATAGAAATGTGAAAAAAGCTTTCACTGTGGAGGGCATCAAGTTTAAGACATTTCACTAATTAACCGAAGTAAAGATGTAGCACTGCCGAAATTACACTTATCTATGTTCATACAAACAGAAATCATTCATCAAATATACAAAAAAATATTTGAAGATTATCTCTCATTAAAGCCGCAGAGAGTTGAGATTAAAAAAGCAATGACAATGTAGAATTGTTTTGAACAAAGAATTAAAGACCACGGCCAGATTGATTTATTGATTGTTTATTTGTTTTACGTCCATTTTGAGAATTTTTCACTCATAAGAGACGTCATCAAATTTAAATTTAGAACTTTCCTCGACACTTACCGCAATTCAGCAGCGAGGGTTCTTTAACGTGCCTATTATGAAACAAACCTACGTTTTTAAGGTCAAATCCAAAAGATCCGTGATTTTCACTTATAATGCCGGGCGCTTAGTGAAGGAACAATCACTACCTATATTAAGTACGTCTTTGGTTTGACGCAAAACTGGGAACGAGATTCGAACCCGGACCTCCCGATCGCGAAGCAAGCATCCTAGCACTAGACTTCTGCGACTGGTATATCAACCCCAATTGAAACCTAAAACATTCACCTTAGTTCCAAAAACTTCCTTTAATTAAATCAGATTCTATCTTTTCATCTGTGGAAAGGCATAATTATATCAAAACATGTAACATAATCCTCATACGGACAAACAAGGAAAAATCCATATGTACATAATTTTTGCCGGGCAAGGAGAAGTACATGTAGAAACTTATCCGCCCTTCGCTATACTATGATATATGGAGATAACGAACAGTAATCAAGCTCTAAAGTCCATTGAAACAGTACAAATTGGGAGCAAAGCAAACACGGACCTCTATAGACATCAGAGGGGGATCAGGTGCAACGGAGGAGTAAGAATCCCCTGTCGACCGGTCACACTCGCCGTTATTCAATAATGTCCCCCCTTTTGAACAAATTGCTAACTCAAACTTTAAGACATGATTAATTACTCAAATGCACTACTTCTTCTTACGCCTTTTCAATAAAAAAGAGTTTTAAACATGTTTGAATGCAAATATGGTGAAGTATAGTCCCTTTCTTGCAGTAAGAATCATGTTTTTATATAAGTGAATCGTCTTTTTGTATTTTGCTTTCGCATCTTTGTGAGCCAGGATCTAGTTTGTATTTAAAAGGAAATGAAATATGTGTACGTTGGGAAATCAATATGGTACAATCTTAAAATAGTATTCATAATATTAAGAGGTAAACATCGTGTATTAATTTGAATATATATTGTTAATCATATTTTGAAGAAAAAAAATAACTAAAAATGATATTTTTGAACATTAAAAAGCTTTTATGACAATGTAAACAGCAACAAAAATATTTTGTGTAAAATTTTGACTAGTATGATTTTGTTAACATGAAATATTTTCTAAATATTAATACCAAGTCAAAAACGTTGCTTGTATGACATTGATGCCATAAAAAATCCCTAAAATATAAAGTAAA